ATTTTTCTTTTTGAGGCTTACAATAAATGTAGAACTAAAAAGATTGCAGAGAAGTAGCGCGTTAAGACCTTCCTACCAGACACCTTGAAGGAAAATAGTAGTCCATTGCTCTATTAACGTCTGTGCTTGTATTTGTATGTCATTAGGGGCTATATTGACGCTAGTTCTTCTGTCACTAAGTAGTCTTTGGATTGTGATGATTCTCCATGAATTTGAGATTGGTAGTTGGAATTAGTGAGAGATTGCTTGGTTTGTTGCTGCAACTTTTTTGAGGGATTAGTAGACAACATTTTTTATGGGAACAACTGGACCAAGGTGTTATTATTTAAACCCTGGATAAGAAGCATGTCTTACTATATTATATTGCTCTTCAACTGCTATAACTGCCCTCGAGTTGTAAACTTAAATTACTACAGTATTTTTCGGGCAAAATTGAAACTCCTTACTGACTTTAATTTATTGCTAATATATATTTTAGCACTATAGTTAATGTGGAAAGCAATTTCTTGAGAATCACTTGTGATACCACAAAATAAGATTTTGCAGCCACGACGACAGTGTTTTCTGATAGAGTAAAAAGCTTGCTAATTTACATTGCTTTGTCCATGTTGCCCTAATACTTGTGTGTGTTTAAGATAGTTTTGTTTCTCAAACCATTCCTGATTTTGAAGTTACTTGTATCTTTACAGGAAGCCCTTAATTAAGTTGGGTGCTAACATGCCTGCTAGAGCAGAGCGGGTGGCACGAAGGAGTGATTTTGATCAGTATACTCCCGGTGGGTTCTGTAATTTGCCTCCTTCACGTGGGGAAGTCTACGAAGTAGTCCTGTACTTTGGGATCATTGACATCCTGCAGGATTATGATATTAGCAAGAAGCTCGAGCATGCTTACAAATCCTTGCAAGCTGACCCAACCTCAATCTCAGCTGTAGATCCAAAACTCTACTCGAAGAGGTTTCGGAATTTCATAGGCAGAATTTTTGTCGAAGACAGGTGATAGGGCAAGAGAATGAAAAAATCAAACAGCAAACAAAAAGTGTTAAATTATAAAGATTCTTCAATGAATCTGGAATCCCAAGTGGTGTAAAGCACATTGCCTGGAATGGGTGAGTGGCGGCTGCTACCGGTGGTCATAATCGGAAAAAATATTGGCTCCGGCAGTCATGGGCGAAGACATTTTTTGGCTCGGATATACTATTCATGCGCGGTGCTTGGTGGGGTTAGTGGCTGAATTTTATGGATCAGCCACTGGTTGAGTGTAAGTTCTGTGTACATTCCATGGGGGTGGGTAAGAAGGTAATATGAGTTATTTTTTGTTTTAGTTTTAGGGATATTTTTTTTCTTTTTTGGGTTACCAAGGAATGTGAAGATTTGAAAGATGAGCATAGGGAACTGAGCAAGTTTTCTCAGTGAGATTCAAAAAAGATTGGAGTGAGGGAGGAAAGGACTTTTAAATAATCAAAAGTGTACAGCATATAGGATGAGGAGGTTGAATAGATTATGAAAAATATATATTTGTGTGGATGTCTAAATTCTTGTTATTTATGATGTTTATAGTAAAGTGACTGCACGGAAGAACTATGTCTCTGTCATCTCTGCTGCTGGGGTCGGCGGGGGGTGGTGGTGGTGCTGTCATTTTGGTTGCTTTTCTTTTGATAGCAGTGAAAGAAAGAAAGAAAGAGGCATTGCATTGGGGGCAGAGGAAGAGAGTTTTTGTATACTGAGAGTAACATGAAAAGGGGAGAAAGCAGAGACTAAAGATGCGCTGGCTGGTCCAGTCCTGTCTTTGCTCACTTTTGTTTTTCTGCCCTTTCCTCCTTTTACTGTGTTGGAGTTGGCGTGGGTTTGTTGAATTTGTCCCTCTTTTGCTGATAGAGTGAGTTTACAATAAATGGGGTTGTCCTTTCTGCACCATTTCTTTGGTGGTCGTGTTATAACCGGAAAAGAATTTGTATGTTTTCTAGTCCTTGTCATTTATGATTATATAGAGTAAACATGAAAGTGAAAATTATATATTTTAATTTGGCCTGGTCGTTAATGAAGTGTGTTAACTTTGGGTCACGTTTATATCTTAGAGGAGATAACTAGTGCGTCTTCGGTAAAATAATTGAGGTGTTCCTAAGTTTCTACGTAAGCTATTTTTAAGGAAAAAAGAAGATAAAATAGAAAAGTCGGGTGTTTTTTCTCTTCTTTTGAAGATTGGAGCAGTCGTTAAAGCATAATGCGGATATGCCAGAGACATTTGACTCAAATTGGTCTCAAGCTTAGAATCCCACAATCAAAACATCAATAAAATTACAGTTGTTACTGTAATTCCAATGAGGTTTTGAGGGCTACTTTGTCAATTCAATTTCCTTTGGCCTTTGCTGGGAATTTGTGTAGGATTTTTTTAACTGTAGGAGTCAAAGTCAGTGGGCTGTCGACGAGGTGAACAGGGCCCCACTTTCTTCTTTTTACTGTGGTTTCTTCCTTCCTTTTGACCTACTAGTTCTTTTTTACACGTACTTATATAGTAGGATTTTGCTGTGTCTGTTAGCTCAGATCGTAAGCATGGGTCTGTATCACTCTGTACGGGATTCTGTTATCAACCCATCATAGAAATATTTTACAAGTGAAGGGTGTCCTTTAGTGAGTTTACTAGAGATTAGTTTAGTGAATTATTGTTTTAATTTCTTGTTAAAATTATAAAATCGGCTGTATTAGGGAGCATTTTACTTTGGGTTCCAATGCAGGTGCCTGTATGAGTCAAAATCTATTTTTAGGATATTTAAGCTAAGGTAATACGGGGGGAAACGTTCCCAAGTCGTCATTTGTCGAAATGACCTAAGAAGCGACGAAGTCTGTGATCGAAGAGTTAACAATGGCCGAAGTCGAGGAGTCAACAAGGATTATAACGGCTAGTTTCAAGATAAGACATTAAAAAGAATATTCTAGTGGATATTCCCCGCACTTGTACTATTAGGATTTTTTAGGAACATGTTCCTTATAAATAAAAAAAGAAAAAGACACAATGATAGAGGACATGTGATATTCACTTGTAAAAATACACTTTGACATTAGAGAGAATCGAATATCATTGCAAGCTTACAAATATCACCTTTTTACTAAGATTCTTGTCTACACTTTTCCACTAAATTCGAGAACAACTCAGATATTCAAAGGTTTATCCATCACTCATCATTGTCAGAAAGAACATTCAATGATTCTTTTCTTTCTTGGGTGATTCATTCATTTTATTTACTTAAATATCATTTATTGTTATTTATTGATTTTGAATGCTACATTATTGCCTTTGATTCCTGGAACATTGATTGTATGCTGCCACCATTATTAAAATACATCTATGTAGTATTCATTGCGCTTTTTAGAGCTCCATCTTTGGGATATTATCGTTAGCTAAGATTATCCCTCATTTGTATAAATCTAATTAGTTGAACCAAGATCTATATTTTTGGTCAAACAATATTGGCGCCGTCTGTGGGAATTTCTTAGTTAAAAATTTTAGTTCCCTCTAGATCTACGATTATCGTAAGTCACTAACATCAAAAGCCCCCAAGATCTCCTTTCTTTGTGCATACAAAACCCCACATGGCAGGTAACCAAGGAGAAAGGACAAAAGTAACAAGTGACTTCCCAACCAAACTCATGAATATTATCAACGAAAGCTGCGAAACAGCAGGCGAGAATGCGACGCCCAACGCGTTCCCTAGGCGCGAAAGGTCACCTCCCCCACACTGCAGCATAACAAAACCCAGTGGAAGAGGGGCCTCACGTCTACAGAAGAAGGGACGCCCCCAGCTGTGTAAAAACTCCTCGAAGCATCGCTGATCGACACGTTAGTGAGCGTCCTCAACAAACCTGCTCCAGGCATAACTGTAGAAACTGCAAGGGCTTACATGATACAACAAACAGACTAGCAGTGCAACTAACCAAACCCTCCAACGACATGTATAACCCACAATATTACTAACAGTGCAGGTGACAACGCTCTCACTACCGTTCTAAAAAGAATGGAAGAAATGGAGAATGAAAGCAAAGCACTCCGAGACCAGATGAAAGAGCACCAAGAACAGGTCGACAAGATACCAGGCGCTCCTAAGATGCTGCCAAAGAGGGACACCGACAGGTTCATAGAGCAGTCATACAACGAAAATGCAGCCCCGCTTGCCATACCAAAGACCTTCAAAATTCCGTCGTACCTCAGAATATACGACGGAACGACTGATCCTGAGGATCATGTGACTCATTACGTCACCGCCGTGAAAGGAAACGACCTCACTAAGGAACAAGTGTCCTCTATTTTGCTAAAGAAGTTTGGCGAGACCCTTACTGGAGGAGCATTAATATGGTATTCACAGCTCCCAGCCCGCTCCATAGAGACTTTCGAGGAAATGGCTGATAAGTTCGTAGCCGCCCATGCCGGAGCCAAGAAGGCTGAAGCCAGAGTAAATGACATATTCACTATTAAATAGTCCTTGGGAGAGGGACTTAGGGACTTCCTCGCCCGATTCAACAGAGTAAGGACGACTCTACTGAACGTATCCGAAGGTATGGTGGTCGCCGCTTTCCAGAACGGGTTGAGCAGAGATGGTTCAAGAGCAACCAAAAAACTGTTGAGTCGATTAATGAAATATCCTCCAACCACTTGGGACGAAATCCATAATGCTTATTGCGCTGAGGTCCGAGTAGACGAGGACGACCTCAACGGACCAACTCATCGGCTAGCATCGGTGAAAAACGGATCCAGAAAAGAATGAAGAAACAACATAAAGAGGGATCACTCGGTTCTACGACCCAGTAGGGAGCGACATAAACCATATGCAGGGAGGCCACCGCCCCTTCCCCCCGCTATGAGGCAGGCACATCCAGGCCGAGGACATGGACTCACCGAAATGAAAGAGGTATGCCCCTTTTATTATCTTCTCACAATTTTTGTGTGTCGCCTACAGAAATAGTCTATGCTCTTGAGAAACTCGGAACAAAGGTGAAGTAGCTGCCGAGATGAGATCAGATCCGAACACTAGAAAATCCGACGCCCTCTGTGAGTTCCACCAGGAACGTGGGTACAAAACAGAAGATTGCATCCTCAGACAAGAAGCCGTAAACATGTTGCGACAAGGGCATCTCAGAGAGCTGTTAAGCAATAAGGGGAGAAACAACTTCGCCAGAGGATGTGAACATCATGGCCCACCAAAGCCGCTATCGCTAGCCTGCATTATCAACATGATAATCGGCGGTGGCGACGACTCTATCAATGACGTAAACTTCACTACTACTTACAAGCTCAAATGGTCTATCACGCGCGAACAACACGACGGACTCGAAGAAAGTATCATCTTCAACGAGTCGGATGCCGACGATTTGACTTTTCCTCATAATGATGCCCTCGTTATTACTTTACGCATTTTAGATACCGATGTGAAATACATCATGGTGGACGATGGAAGTGGCACATGCATTATCCATCCCCGAGTCCTTACCCAAATGAGACTCGATGATAAGATAGTGCCGCGCCGTATCACGCTAAATAGTTTTAATAATGTAGTTGAGCGGACATCCGGGGAAATTACACTCATCGTCTTGGCCGGGGGCGTGACTCTAGAGATGACATTCCATATCATGGAGCAGGCTACCACGTATAACGCCATCGTGTTACGACCATGGGTACATCCCATGAGAGCCATCCCTGCAGCCTATACCAAGTAATTAAATTCCCAACACCATAGGGAATATTCAGCATATGCGGAGAACAACGCACATCCCGGGAATGCTACTGCATTGCCTTAGACAGCACGGGGACCCAACAGAAAAAAAGACTAGCAAAAAGAGGCATAGAAATCAACAAGGTCGAGGTCGACAAAAGAAGAAATCAGGGACATCATCATGGACCCCGACACGATCGAGGCTACAAGTTGGGCCATAGAAGACCTCGACCCTATTCAATTAGATCCCAACGACCATAGCAAGAAGGCTTATATCGGCTGCAAACTCCGGGAACCCGATAAATTCAGTCAATTCTTAATCGCTAATGCAGATTTGTTTGCTTTCAGCCATACAGATATGCCGGGCATCCCAAAGAAAATTGCTACACACAAATTAAATGTCGACCCATTCAACCCCAGTAAGACAGGTCAGGCATAAGTTCAACTCCGCCATCAACAATGTAGTTCGCGAAGAGGTGATACAACTTTTAGAGAACGGCTCATAAGGGAGTCGAAGTACCCCAAGTGGATCACCAATATAGTATGGTCAAAAAGAAAATAGGAAATAGCGGATGTGCGTGGATTTCACAGACTTGAACAAAGCATGTCCGAAGGATTCGTTCCCATTACCCCATATCGACCAACTCATCTACGTAATAGCCGGACACGAACTATTGAGTTTCTTGGATGCTTACTCAAGCTATAACCAAATTCTTATGTAGGAAGAAGATTAGGAGAAGACCACGTTCATCACCCACCAAGGAACGTATTTCTATAGGGTCATGTCGTTTGTGTTGAAAAATACGGGGGCTACTTATCAAAGATTGGTAACAAAGATGTTCAACAACTAGCTCGGTAAGACCATGAAGGTATATATAGTGATATGTTGGTCAAGTATGAAAAGGAAGAGGATCACATCGATAATTTAAAAGAAACTTTCGACATACTCAGATGGTACGGAATGAAGCTGAACCCGGATAAATGTGCATTTGACGTAGCCTCGGGAAAATTCTTGGGTTTTCTGGTGTCGCAACGAGAGATCGAGTTCAACCTAGACCAAATCAAAGCTATCGATGGGATACCAGAACTCTTAACCACCCAAAAGCAAGTCTAAAGGTTGACTGGTCGAATCTCCATACTATCAAGGTTCATCTCGCGGTCATCAGATAGATGCCACAAATGTTTTAGCGTACTCAAGAAGGATGACGACCTTGAATGGACTCCCGAGTCCATCCAGGTTCTACGGGAACTGAAGGCATACCTATCATCATGATCTCTGCGTACAAAACCCGAACCGGGGGAGCAACTCCTCATCTATCTAGCCATCTCCTCGTCTATCCTCGAGAAGAAAGGTACGTAATTTCCAAACTATTACATTAGCAAAACACTCGTCAACGCCGAGACAATGTACCCGCACCTCAAAAAATTGGCTCTGGCCTTGGTCATAGCTTCACGAAAGCTTAGACCATATTTCCAGTGCCACCCCATCTTGGTCGTCACGACCTTTCCCCTGAGAAGAATTTTGCATAAACTCGAGCTATCGGGGAGGCTGGCCAAATGGGCCATCGAGCTAAGTGAGCACGATATCACATACCAGCCGCGAACGACAATAAAATTTCAAGTGCTCGCTGACTTTGTCGCCTACTTCAGCACAAAAATAATGCTTGAATTCAAGAGGGAATCCGTCCAAGCTTCCCTCCAACCACAAGACCTCTAGGTCCTATACACCGATGGCGCATCCAACGCATTAGGGTCCGGAGTGGGACTCGTACTCGAGGTCCCTACATGCGAAGTAATTCGCCAGTCCATAAGGTGCCCAAATATGACTAACAACGAGGCCGAATATGAGGCCGTAATTGCAGGGTTGAGGGTAACACTCAATTATGGGGCAAAACGGTTGAAACTCCGCTGTGACTCCCAACTCGTAGCCAAACAAGTCATAGGGACTTTCCAAATCAAGGAACAAAGGTTGAAAAAATACCAGACCGAAATCTGTAAATTACTGCTTAAGTTCAATGAATGCCAGCTCGATCTGATCCCACGAGCACCGAATGCCGAAGCAGATGGCCTCGCCAAACTAGCCGCAACTGCCTAAAGCATCGCAACCGGAGATAAAAGCATAGTCCATCTCCTCAACTCGTCACTAGACCAAATTGAGGTAAACATCATAAACTTAACTTGGGACTGGCGCAATCGTATTATCGCATATTTGCAGGACGGCACACTCTCGGGTGACAATAAAGACGCCAAGAAACTAAGAATGTATGCGGCCAGATACAATCCCCTTCGTGGCGACCTATACAAGAGAACTTATGGTGGAATCCTGGCAAAATGTTTGGGCCCGAACCAAACCTAGCGCATCCTCGAAGAAATCCATGAAGGCCATTGCGGCGCTCACTCCAGCAATCGAGCACTGGTCAGATGCCATATACAGGCGGGATACTATTGGCCCACCATGAAAGAAGACATAGTAAACTTTTTGAGGAAATGCGAACAATGCCAAAACTACGCACCAATGATTCACCAAGCAGGCAAACACCTCCACTATCACCTCCCCATGGCCGTTCATCAAATAGGGAATGGACATCGTGGGCCCACTCCCAGCAGGGCGAGGTAATGTACGATTCATTTTGGTTTGACTGACTATTTCTCTAAATTGGTGGAAGTAGGAGTATTTGCCCAAATACGGGAACATGAGGTAATCAGCTTTATATGGAGAAACATCATATGCCGATTCGGCCTACCCAAGGAAATCAGCTGTGAAAACGGACCCCAATTCACAGAAAAGAAAAACGCTGAGTTCATCGAGAAATGGCATATCAAGAGGATACTCTCAACCCCATATCACCCAGTGGGTGACTGGCAAGCAGAATCCTCCAATAAGTCCATACTAAACATCATCAAGAAAAAGTTCGAAGATGCCAAGAGACTGTGGCTGGAAATACTACTAGAAGTATTATGGGCCTACCGAACAACTCCGAAGACGAGCACATGAGAGACGCCCTACTCTTTGGTCTATGGGACTGAGGTAGTAATGCCGGTCGAGTTCGGAGAACCCAGCCTAAGGTACTACTACGAAAGCGGCATAAGTAATGATGGGAGCAGAAGGCAGGAACTCGATGAAATCGACGAACGAAGAGATATGGCGTACATTAGAATGGCCGCCCAAAAACAACAAGCAGAACACTATTACAACAAGAAAGCAAAGGTTCGACCACTTAAAGTCAGGGACTACGTACTGAAAGCCAAAACTCAAGCGAGCAAAGACTACCCCCGGGAAGGCAAGCTGGGAACAAAATGGGATGCCCGTACAAAATCACAACCAAAGCGAACAAGGGTTCGTTCAAACTAGAGACAATGAAAGGAAAGCGACTAACAAACAACTGAAACATCAGCCACCTCAAATACTTCAAATTCTGAGACAAAAAGTGTTCCCCAAGTCGTACTCTTTTTCCTTCACTTGAGTTTTGTCCCATTTGGATTTTCTCAAAGAGGTTTTTAACTAGGCGGCAAAGGGAACACTTCGGGTCGAAGTACACGAGGGTAGGACCGTTGTTACTATTTCATTACTCGACTTCTCAATACTCTAATTGATGGACTTCTCAATACTTTCCAAGTTAAACAATGAAGGGACTAGGTAGACTGAGATTGGGACGGGAATACCAGCCAACACCCAAAATATGTAATTTTCTTCAAGTTTGTGACCAAAGCAACAATGTCAAAGCAATAAGAAACTTATGTTTATCAGTACACCTTTTTCATATAAAGGTTACATTCGACCTCGCTCGAACAATGCCGCCCTCGGCCACGATTTAACAAAAGGTTATGTTCGACCTCGCTCGAACAACACCTACCGGCCCTCGGTCAAGATTTAATAAAAGGTTATGTTTGACCTCGACTCGAATAACACCTACCGGCCCTTGGGCATAATTTAGCAAATTATTTTTTTTGACTAGGCTCGAACTAACACCTACCGAATCTCGACCACAAATCTAACAAAAGGTTATGTTCAACCCCGTTCGAACAAACACCTACTGGCCCTCAACCGCGGTTATGTTCGACCTCGTTCGAACAAACACCTACTGGCACTCGACCACCTTTCAACAAAGAAACACACACGACCTATGAATATTCGGCTCCAAGGCCACATCCAACTAAAAAGAAAACAATAAAAATAAAAATACAGGTACAGAAAAATAAACCACGGGAAGGGAAAAAGATTCAAAGAACAACTTTGATATTTCATACTTAAAATATTTACAAAGGCTCATGAAGACGCCGACAAAAATATACATAAATTTATAAATAAAACTACTGGTCATCGCCATTACGACCTTCAGCGCTCTTGCCAGCTCGATCTTCAACGGCATCACCACCCTGACCACCAACACCCTCACCATCTCGGCCCCCAACGCTCTTGCCATCCTCGACCAGAGGGTATACTGAATCATACCAGGCCTCGGCCTCGAGGCAATCTACAACATCCTTATTGCCTTCTTCTTCCTTACCAGAACGAGGAGTATCCGGGTCATAACCATACACAATCCGATCCTCGTGAGCTTTGGCACGAGCACCCTTAAAATCTACAGCAGAAATGGATCCCTCTACATGCAACTCATGAAGCACATCCAGCCGGGCTTTGGTGTGAATCCACTACTCGTACAAATCACAAGGAATGTTAGGAAATTTGAAAGTCGCAGATGAAGAGGGCCGATCAAGTAGTTTGGCCTTCTCTGCCTCCATAGTAACAACTTGATCATAAAAATTAGAGATCTATTTCTCCAACTCCCTAATCATTTCATCGATCCGCTCTTCTTTGAGCCTTACCGTCGTCAAATCATTCTCTCGCTCGGAACGGAGAGTTTGAATCGCCACTTCAAGGGATTCCGCCTTCTTTAGAGCCTCCGACCGAGCGGACTTCGCCTTCTCTAACTCCTCTTGCTGCTCGACAACCTCGCCACTAAGAGCCTACACCCTGAACTGACACTCTTCGAGCTGACCCCGCAAGAGGACCACTTGGGCCTGGAGGTCACTGCATTGGGCCTCTACGCCCCTACTGAGCTCGAGCTCCTCCTTTTTTCTCCTCAATGTCCCTTCAAGGATGCTGCACTTCTCCATAACTTGCATCAGCTCTTCGTCCCTCTTATTCAAGTCCTCCCTCAGGACCCACATATCACCGTTCTCGCATAGCCGGCATCGAAGCTCACTGTACTTTTCAAGGCATCTGAAGTACTTGTCCTTCAGCTTCATGTAGATATCTTTATGTATCTTCTCCCTATGATCACTTTCGATCTCCAGGACGACCGTCTACAAAACGTATGACGAGAGTTAGGGCCTACGACAAAACAAAACCTAAGGAAAACAACAAACAATGAACATACTTACTCGAAGTGTGAGACCAATAATGTTATTCGACAAGGTGCGGTCGTCTATATTCTT